TCCTTAACAGCCACACGTTGCCTGCTGAAAAAAAAAAACAACTCCGAGTTCCTATTACTGGCTGTTAACATCATTATCTACTTCTCTGTTGAGAAGCATGGGGAGTGGAGTTAGAATTTCTAATGTAACAAGTGGTGATGGGAGGAGAAAAAAGCAAAACCAGAAAACTGCCATCCACGGATTTCTTTCAAGTATGACTCCTCTGACATTCCTAAACTAAAATTAACACTGCTTTCTAAGCCAAACTTTCTATTTGTATTGCGTGGAAAATAGAGGGATTGTATTCGATTGGTGGTGTCATGGGCTTAGGGATACTGCTGCCTCAGATGGATGGAGGGGAGCTAAACATCTGGAGTCAGAACTGAGGAGGACCTAATGCTAATTCATTGCTGCCTCAATGAATTGCACTCCATTAAGCCTAAAGGTCACCTGGAAATAGGCATTTTTCAAAGATGCTATTGCTGGTGTAGCAATAATTTGGCACAGCGTAAAGAATTTGGAAATTCCATCTACTTATCTAAACTCTGACCGTAAAAAATGATAGAGCGGTTACCACTTCAACAACTCAGCCAGTAACCAAGACAACAACTGACAGAACAGCCTGTGCTCAGATCCTGGATCCAGGTAGAATCAGACAGAAATGTTCTTTTCTGTCTGCTGAGATTTGCTGGTGTTTTGCCACAGCGAAGACAGAGGGAATATGAAATTACAGAACTAGGAAATCGTTTAGGCTGAGAGACATCTAGGGATCACCTCGTCTGAGCACCGTGCTGAGGCAGGGTCAGCTCGATTTGGGAGAGCAGGACTGCTTCCAGTCTGCTCTTGAATCGGACTTGCACCTCACAAAACTTGAACCTTTCTCTTCCCCTGAGCCATGTGCTCCTTTTCATCCTCGTGCTGAGGAAATGAAAGCAGAGCCTAAGGCCATGTATAATTTCCAAACAGGTTATTTTCCCCACAAACTTTCAGCTTCTCTTTTCCTTTATGTATGTTCTGGCAGTTTTGCACTTCCAGAACTGTTCATATATTTATTGTTTCCCCCCAAATGCACACCTAAGCACGTTTAACATCTTGTGTTTGTCCTGTGCAACAGGCGGTGCTGTGGCAATTCTCTCTCTCAGATACACACAAGAAATAAGATGGAAAACTGGCTTATGAGTAATTTACAGCAGTTAGGGAAAGCAAACTTTACTTGTGCACTTCCAAAAGCATTCCACTACTTCGTGGTGCCCTCACTTGTCACAATATCCCCCTCAAAGGGTAAGGACTCATTCACAAGTATTGAGGGCAACTCATGACAAATGAGTGATAACACCTGCAGAGTGCTGCAGCTCCAAACACTAAAGTCAGCTTTAACACAGAAAATAAACTTTCTGTGGGTTATAACTCACTGCAACGCAATCCTCATTATTACAGCAGGCAATTGTAAATGTGCTTAATGAAAAGATGCGTTTTTTATTACTGCGCCGTTGTACATTTCAGAATGGATTCTTATGAGAAAATGAGTCCTAGGATGTTTCTGTTAATAACATTAACAATACAGAAGTATTGCTGTATTGTTTAGAGATGTCGTATATCACCATAATGACTATTGCTATTTTAAGGTTGCCTTGGAACAAGAAAATTAGCTGTAACGATGTTCATTTCTCATTTGAATTCAATTGATTTTCTGTACTCATTGTAGCAAAGATTTAACTTATGTAAGAAAGTACTGAACTGTGTATTGATTTTTAAATTAAAAGCTTTTATTGTTTTTTCCTTTATGTTTAATTGTGAAATACCTTGTACGAGCCATAGTTTTAGTTATACTGTATTCAAATTTTTCTAGCAAAATCTACCCAGTCAAAAATTATGCCTTTATTCTTCAGATGTGAGCAAAAACCATTGTTTTTCCACAATCAATACATAAATTAGTCAACACTTAACTTGCCATAAAAATAAATTGACTCCACATTGATTTGTCTCTCTCATGGTAGCACTAATATTTATGTACAGATTGGAACTTGTTCTTCTCTCATTTTATTTTCCTATCAGTAATGTTAAACAAACGCTGGGACATTGCATGCTGCTGGGCAGACAAAAGGCAACAGGGAGAAGGATCCTGTCTGGGTACATTTAGAGGCAGCTCAATCTCATCACCTCATTAAGAGCTCAATGAAAATACTCCTTAACCTTTTCTCAGTCTCGGTGATCGGCAAGAGGACTTTCAGCCTGACTGATTGTCTGACTGGCAATTTCAGAGAGACCTGGAGAATTCTGGCCTACTGGAAGATTTAACAAGCAAATTGCTCTGTGGAATTATAAATGCTCTCTGAAATCTTGAATCAAACGTCAATACTCAGCTCACGGACATCTTCTTAAAACTATTTCCTAGAGCAGACGTGTTTCATTTCACTGCCTTTTGCTTTCTGTTGCTCATTGATGGGCCTTCTTCCTACACTCACAGGAAAAAGAATAAAAGTCTTACTGAGCTGTGCCAAGCACCGCTACAATCATTGCAAGAAAACAAAACATTCTCTTTTCATTTCTCACATTTTTCTGTTTCTGCAGTCCCATGGGCTCCACTGGGGTGGCAATATCTGAATCAGTTCAATTGAAGGAAGTTAGCGTCAAGCTTAAATTTTCATAGCGAAAGCTATTTGTTTGGATTTGTTATTTTCTCCTTTGTGTTATTATTCTGCTTTCCTCTCTGTTAAAGAGAGAATACTAAGTGAAACTAACACAGCTAAAGGATGTTATTGGTATCCTTATTAAGTGTTACAACCATTACTATTTGAAAAGTAAGAAATATTTTAGTGCTTAAAACACGTTTTTAAGCTGGATTTCTTGTTCTTGGTTTAACAGCTATATTTGATCATAAATTTCTATAAATGGTTTGACTGTTTTTAAAAGAATGTACGTATTTTAACACAGTGAAATTGCAGCCAGCATTCCTTTTGAATTTAAATTCTACTTTTACTTCATCAACAAGCATATGGAAATGGGTGAGACCAGAGTGGAAGCATGATAGGAGGGACTTGTGCTGCTATAGTATAAAAGGCTTCAGAGACATCCTGTCATTTCACAGTCTACTTTAATAAGTTCAATTAAATTTACTTACATAAATTACTTAAGAAAATTTAAGTATGTAAGTTCACAAGTTGCCTGAATTTAAACTGTTTAGAAGTATTCCATGTACTTCACTGGAGACATTTAAAATCTACAGCAGTGCAAGAGAACAGGCCCACTGTCATCTTACATCAATCCATTCATCCATTTCTGGATTTTAAGCATACCTGATAATTAAAAGCAAGGCATAAATTGTACTCACAAAGCCATAGGTGTTTTAGGCAAGCAGGATTCCTAGCAAGTCCAATGTGTATACCGCTTGTAGAGCAGAACTTCCCCGTACCTCTTAAATTTTTGACAAGTAATTGGGTGGTACCACTTAATTAGACATAAAAGCCAGCAGCATATTATTTCTAATGCTGAATAGGGTATTAATAACAGTTATCTTTTTAAATTAAATCTGCTGTTACAGATTAAGAAGATGTAAGAGCAATTGCAGCTTATATTGCAGACTGTGTAAGTTTTTTGGTCCGAGGCCAAAGGTTTTAACCTGTTGCTGTTATTTTGCAGGATTTTGGAGCACAAAGTAGCAGGTCTTATGCTAGATTGATGACAATACTCTCCCCCAGCCTCCCAGCTTGTGCTATACTTAGTGTTCAAATGTAGTCTAAATCAAACCCCACCCAAACCAAATGATCATGTGCTCATCTGTTTGCTCTTAACCTATAATAAGAAATTATCTTTGGAACCTAAGGCAAAAACAAGCAAACAAAAAACCTATGGAGACAATTGGGATGCTTTTCTTTTCTTTTCTTTTTTGTTTTGTTTTGTTTTGTTTTGTTTTGTTTTTTAAGTAAAAATAGATGGTTTAAAAATGCTACTGTGCAGTGTGCTGTGATGAGAAATGTGACATTTCTATCTGCATTCAAAGATCCCAGTAATCTTCACAGAGAACAGGCATAAAGAAAAAACAGTAATATTTGATCATCTGCTGGTAAATCACAGCACTAAAAGCCTGAGGAGGTATCTGGATAAATAAATCTAAGTGCACTTTATAAATGATCTTCACGTAATACAATCAGAGTCCCACTGACCAGTTCCACCTCTTTGAGACCACCAGGGACATTCTGGAGAGTCCTCAGCTTGGAAAACATCAGCTAACAATACTTTTCATTTCTATGTCTGAAGTTTTTTCCTCATATCTTTTTCCCCATCTCCTCCAAATTTGCACTAAGACTAACAGAAATAACATGAGGTGCCACCACCTCAGAATTCAAACTACTGTTCTCCACTTCCACTGATGAGACAAAAAAGTCTTTTTCTCTGAGAGTGAGCAAGACCAGCTATTCCTCTAGTTTCTTATTAGAATACATTAATTGAGTGAATTTTGCATGGCCTACTGAAATCAATCAGTTTGAATACAGTTTGTCTTGATGTTTGTCAAATTCAGAATAAGAGTTCTCTTCTGTAGAAAGGACAGGTGCTAGATCAGAGTTGAATCTGCTCCCTTCCCAATCAAGAGGTGCTCTGCTCATCATATTCAGAAGGGTTGTATCTCGTGGTTCATTCATGAGAACGTTATATTAGTGTAGAGAAAAATCAAAAGCAGAAACCATGAATAAAACATTTTCTGACAGCTCCAGTGTGAAAGCAGTCATTCACTCTGTTGCAAATTGCACAAGCATAACCATAGAACAAAGTATGTAGAAGGTCCTAAAACTATACTTCTCACTTCGTAGTCTTTTTCAGTACATGCAGCCTTTTGCTGTGATGGAAACAGAAGTCATTTATGTGTAATGGCTGGAAAAATATAATGTTGTAGTCACAAATGCCATCCGAATTGCTACTTAAATTGCCCAGAGAAGTTACAAGAAACCAAGAAATCATCACAGACACTGAAGCTTTGAACAGCCCTCAGGATAGCCTAAACTGAGAGTTTCCATTTTACTTACCAGTACGTGGGTGAGCTGGATGGTTATAAGAGGAGATCCTGACAGGTTGTGGGACAACTTGGGAGGAGGATCTACTTTGATAGAGATGAGATAACTGGCTGCTGAGATCATATAGCCTTTGTAAGCAGCAGCTTCAGCAATCCTTAAGAAGAAAGAAATATATTAGATAAGTAGGAAAAGAAAGCCTTTTTAGTTCATGCTAGTATTGACCTCTTTCAACTTGGCCTGGGAAATGTTGCTCCTGTCTGAAGCACCTCTTGGAATAATGTCACAGTAGTGAATTATCCAAGCACCCACTTTCCCAACAAACTGCCTCAACCAAAGGGTTGTTGAGAGAGTGAAAGAGATCATTAGGGAGACTGCAGTGAAGTAAGGAGTATAAAAATAAACCAAGCAAAGAAACACTCGTGCAAAGAGAATAATTGAATAATTAAACATGCATACCAGTCTGAAGCATACCCTGGCATTGTATGCAATGAATAGATTACATATGTTATGCATATATTTAGAAACAATTTATAGTTTTACTTTGAAAACAATGACTATTTCCAGTAACATTTGTTAGAGAGCAGCTGGGGACAGAGTACAACAGAGGAAGGCCTGACTAAACATCTGATTAGCCCAGGTGACTTGTTTTTTTTCCTGAGCTGTATAGTTCTGCAGTACATGGTAAGAACATTAATTTCTGCCTTCAGGCCTTCAGCTATAACTTACGACTTTCACATTTCTGTGCATTTAGGAATAACTAAAATCTATTCAGCTGCAGTGTAAAATTTTTTACACTATCAGTAAAAAAGAGTGTGCAGCTGTAAAACATTTTCTGTCATTCAACTCTTCGGCATATGAATGAACATTAATTACAACGAAAAATTAGAGCCAAGGTGAATTAACCATCAGCTTGGGCATCCAAACAAGGCATACTACTAGAAAGAGCCGTATTTGAAAGACACATTAAAAACTATCTTATATCTGCCACCTTTTTGCAATGTTTTCTTGTTTTTTTTGTGGAAAGAAGAAAAATGTCAGATATTAAAGTAACTTCATTCAGTTCCTCAGCAAGATCAAATAAAACAAATCTCATTTAGCACAACCCCAAGCATCAATTCTTAGTTCTGATCAGGAAGAAAAATCACTATAAGACATTAATTCTTATCCCAGTAACTAGAATGAGCAGCCCCTATTTCTTCATGTCAGTAAGAATTATTGCACACTAATGACGCAGATCCTTCACAGCCACCTGCTAAGTGCCCTTTTTTTAAGAGAGCAGGGAAGGCAACAATGCAATTTACTACATGATTTTAAAATGCTATTTAGTAGTAGTCATGTCATTATCTCAGTGTGATCAATCTGGTCATAAACCAGGAACCTTTACCCAGGATATCACAAATGATTTCCCGCGATCATGACCTTCCATGTAGCTGTATGTAAAGAAAGGAAAGTAATCCCTAAAATGAATGACAGCTGAGATGCTTCTTCCTTCCTTCTGTTGTCGTACATAATATGATGAAAGCCACGGTATGGAAAAGACAGAAAGTGTGACCTAATCTAGGTATGTTAGTGTAGATCAATTGAAAACATACAGTCATACTATCTTAAAAGAAAAGTGTAATGATCTACATGAATGGCCTTGCAAAATTCTGTGGGGATCTCTCAGACTGAGAAGTATATGGGTCTCCATTTACTTTATCTTATCTGCTAACGATTTCATTGGTGCAGCATATAAAACAGAAGGTCTTTTAAGCATTGCCTGGTCTCCTGTTGTAAAATTATCTTACAGGTTTCCAGGATTCAGATTTTATCTATGGAGGGATGTTGTTTTCTTACTTGTTTCATTTAAGTGCAAACTTTATCTTTATATGTGTCAGGAGAAAAGATGTAATTTGCCTTTTATAAGACAGATTGAAGTTATGAAATTCTAATAGCAGATCTGATGAACAGAAAGGGAAGACAAGGAAAGACAAACGTTGCCATGGGAATCTATTTTATTATGGCATAAAATAAAGCATCTAACTTAAGATTTAATCTGACCCTAGTTAATGACTACATGTCGTCAATATTGCAGAATCAGGATCAAGGCTCATAATTTATTTACAGTCGATAAAGACACGACTGCTGTAAAGGTAATAAACAAGCTGTTACAGCGTGAGAGGTCTTAGGTACTTACTTGGTATCCATAGGGTTGATACTATGAAAGAAGTAGTGCATGTTATGGTAAAACATGCCGACAATGGTAATCCAAGCTGTGAAAAGGAAAGAGGCAACAGATGTAAGCAAGAGACTTTTCTCTCCTAGAATTACAACTTTATTACGATCTTTGGCTTCTGTAACAATTCTCATTATTGAATTCTCAGTATTTTTTAAAATAAGTGAAGAAGTAGAAGTTAGGTATTGAAATAGAAGCAGGCTTGCCCTATGCAGCTGTACTTCCAAAATGAGTAAGTTGTTAAGTACTTGTTTGTCCTTGTAAAACTCCTACATGTCACCAGAATGGCTGCATGGCTTATGTAGTCAACATCTCAATGGTAGCTACAGTAACTTCAAGGCTGTTTAACCTCTATGTACATTAACATTAGCAGTTTACAAAACTTGAGCACAGGCAACTGGTTTCTGCTTCAACTGCCTGTTCACTGTCTGCATTCCAAGTATTTATGGGTTCTTCAGCATCTGAGAGGAGAGAGGGATGTGTATTTTATAAGTGCCCTTTATTATCCCTTTTGCTGGGTTCCAAGGATTTATAACGTGAACTGCTTGAGGCGGAGCAATAAATGTTTAGGTTAATTCTTTGGATTGTGTCGTTCAGCATAAGGCTGAACTTGTTCAGAAGTGAGTTTTGGCTGCAAAACACCCCTGCAGAGTATCTGCAGCTGACTTTGCATTGTGTGAATAAGGAACCAGGCTTTTTTCAACAGACACGACCAAGGAAAAGTCTGTGTGTGTGTCAGTTCTGTGGATTGTGGGTTAGGGTACATAGGCTGGATTTTCAAAGACTTAAGGATCCAGGTAGATACTTTTGTAAGCAGATTTCTTCAGTTCTTGATTACATCACAGAATCAGGTTAAAACATTTTTATTTTTTGATTTTGACTGAAGTTTCGGATTTTTGCCATCTTCTCACTTTTTGAGATAAGCTAAAATTTTAGCACAGGCATGAATTTCTTAGTTCTGCCCCATTGCTTTGACTGTTGCTCACATCTTTATTCTGTTTCTGGATATGCTGTTGCTTAGCTCTGTCATTTTATAGATAAATTTCATTAAAAATGTTAAAACAGATTTTGCATGGAAATACAAGTAATGAGGGATCTGGTAACCTGAAATTTCTTAAAAATAACTAGTTTGGATGAATAAAAATAATTTAAGAAATGAAGGCTTTTCTCACATAAAAAGACATCATCATTAATAGCTGTCTTCTCTGCAGTCTAGTTGTGTTATTCAAGTTGAATTCAAGTAATAGGAATATTACTCAAGTAAGATGAAGAATTCTACCACGTTGGTCATTCATTAATGTGACAGAAGAGCTGTTGTTGATTTAGAACTGGTATGATCAATTGGTCATTTGTAAAAGTAGGGCAAACAGAAAACTGTTTTCAAGCAGAATTATTCTTGAATATTTACATACTCCTGCTCTCCCTTTAATTTTTTCTTACCTCTTTCTTGAAAAGCTTCACTGGGAATAGAAATATAACTCTGTCCTCGAGATGGAAAGCGATAATGGGACAAATTCAGAGTCTTGGAATGCATTTTGGCCAAAGTGTAGTCTGTGTGAGAATCCAAACAAAAATAATGACAGAATCAATTGCCTTTATTACAAACTTCGTGAGTATGTAGCTTTGCTTTTCTAACAGCTATTGCAAATCTTGACTCTAAAATTCCATATGTTTGCAGAAAGTAGAATAAATTCCTTGCAAAGAAAATTGCCTTTTCTACCCAAATTCTTTATGAGAGGAAAGGCAGTACGCAGGGTGCTAGTATATGGTGGATCACTTCACCCATGCTTGAAAAGCAGATTGATAGCACCATCTTCTATCTTCCCTTTCCACTGACATTTGAAAGTGTAATTTCAGAACACTTTCATTGAGAATTCCAGTGTCCAAGACAGCTTAGGGAGTATGTGTGCAGTGATTGATGGTACTAGTGACTGCTCAAGTGAGTCTCAATGAAGTAGAATAAAAATGCTGGAACAGATCAATTACCTTTGCTACCTGTAGCAGATGAAATTAGGTTGAGGATGCAAAACAGTGGTAAAAGAAAACATTCTCCTGAAAGGTTTAAACTAGACTCCTCTCCCCAAATTGAAGTTTTCTAGTATCTGTACAGTTGCAAGTTGCAAGCACTGAATAAAAGCTATGGGCAGTACTTTAATTGCCTACTAGTATAGTCTGTGCTGTGCTAAGTCTTTCGTATAGCTTTATTGGGTTCGTATGTGAAATCATTCCCCAGATAAACTCAAGAACTTCAAGTGCAGTTAGAGATGATTACTTCTGAACTTTCTGCAGCTGAAATGGCATTCAAAAGAGAGAATAATTTGTTCTGATTTCCTCTTAAGTGTTAGCAAAGTAGAGGGGCTGCATGCACAGAAGCATTCAGGACACCCTGACAGGCCAAACAGAGAGAACAGCTCTGTTAAATCCTACCTGCTATGGATGATGTACCCTCAACAGTTAGAGACATCGAGTTTTCTTCCAGATTGCATGTCATATGCACCATCACACTGTCAATAGTTTGAATTAAGCTTCCAAATATGTGAGCAGTCTGAGAGAAGAAGAAAGATAAGGCTCTACAACAAGAAAAATTGAAGTTCACAGCACAAAATGCCAAGGTGCCATGATAAATTCCTGTGTAAGTCATTGTTTGTCTGTCCAAAAAATCGTGTGATTTTCTCCATAACATTTTCCACATAGAGTGGATGAAATGTTATTTAAAGTGATGTCACACAGAGCCTGATCTTGTAATATACTATGTTTTATGGAGCATCTCTAAAGGACTCTTTGCTCCTATCAGCATTTGTCAGTTATATTCAGGATTCAGAAAAATGACATCAAGAGCAGAACAGATTATTTTGGCAATATTTAAAGACTTGGATCAGACACTCACTGGGACATGATTTTAAACACACTGTAAACCAGCTCTTGTTTCATCTATACTAGAACATTCCCCAGTACAAAACTACGTGGGAAGTGTTTATATGTCTCCTAGAAAACAGTCATCAGAGTGAACACATGTTTTAATGTGGAAGAAATCTACTTGATTTGATATTTCCTTACACAAAAGGCAATCTAGGAATCTAGGATTTTAAGCTAATAACTTAAATCCATTAGACATCTATATGTCTTTCTTAAAAGTGCCTTAGGATTCAGTAACACCCTGATTTACATTAGTAGTTGTCCTCCTCACCCATTTTAAAAGCTTCCTGTTATGAAATTTGCGTTCCCTTAAGATTCAAATAAAAAATCTCAGGAAATGCCTGGGAAAGTATTTTTCTGCATTCAAATTCAGACGGGTGACCAGAAGAGAAAGATCACTGATGCAGGTTGCCTTTCCTATGTCAGATGATAGCTCTGTCAAAGTTTCACTCCACTGAATTAGGGAAGTGCTGCTACGTCCCTCATGTGTTCTGAAAAAAGTCAAACTACAAAAAAATATGCACACACTAATTACAAAAGTGAAAGGCTCAAAAATAAAAAGCTAACTTTGGGGCAAGAGAGGTTAAATACTGACTTCATTGACAATGCTTGTTATTTTATAAATACAGGTTTAGCTTGTTTCTTTCATCCGGAAATGTGTGGAAACATACATATAAAATTTACCTACTTTAGCCTTAAAAACCACATCTATTTTTCAATTGTTTTGGAGAGGGATCTTTATTTCAAATACGCAAATGGCATAAGACCAAATAAGTCATCCTGCTAGTTGTAGCAGGAATAGAGGCAACCAAATTCTTTACTGTCTACTCTAAGTCACACATCTGAATTAACCAAGAAATCAAAGCTCATTTCTCTTACCTCAGGTATTTCAGGCCAGTTGGGTAATAGCAGAAAGTCTTCAATAACTTTTAAAAATGCCTGAAAGAGTGAAACAATGTAATTTTGTTTTTCATCTGGTACACCTCCTGGCAGGCACACAAGGCAGATTTCTTGGATTTCCTTTGGTTTATTTTAAGATTACAAACTTTATTTTTCATTCTAGCCAGGTTCATCCCCACTGCAAGCATTCCCATCGTGTTTTATGTAGTATTTTAAATTAATGGCTTATTTATTAAAAGTATCACCGCTACGAAGCTCACAGAGTACAATAATTACATGTAATGTGACAACAATGGATCTTAGGGGAAAGAACTTATTTTCCTAGTTTGTCTAAACTCATATGACATTAGAATGCCTCTTCATCTGTGATTACATATTTCGTCAGCACTGCATATAAATTTGGGCTCCATCAGCTGCTAAATTTGATTATTTCCTGCTTAACTTTTTCACTTTTGTTTTTGAAGTCAAGATCCATCATGATGAGCACTGTTCATGATACAGACTCTGTCCTAAGGAGTCTTGCTAACAGAGATAAATGCAAGGAGGAGATAGGGGGCAACAAAAATGACCAAAAAAATCAAAAGAAAAATCACATTCCTGCTTAAACATCTCTTTCACGTACCTTAAAAGCATTGACTGAATATAAAAGTCTCATTGAGAAACACAGAAGAAAGCAGCACCAGAGTGTTTTATGAGCACATTTTTATAAGCAGTGAAACACAGGGCAGTACCAGAGCTTTTCTATAGCCTTTTACTTCTAGCAACTGCAAGCTCTGTGCTGCCTCTCTGAAACACTGAGTGTGGCATGCATAGAGTTTATCTGAAAGCCAAGACCCAGCCCAGACTGCTGAGAGCTTTCAGGAAGCATCTCTTCCCAAGACTCAGCAGCACTTCAGAATTAACACAAAAAGGATGTATTAGACTGCTAGAAGAGGAGGGAAAGCAGGAGGACTGGAACTGCTAGGCAGAACAGAATTATAACAGAAAACGTGAGTAAGATTTGTCTAAGCAATACATTATGTCAGTAATCAGACAGCTTATTGCATATCACTTACATCAGATTTTCTTGTGCTGTGAGGCATATGACAACCAGTAGAGAGATGCCCTTACTGAAAATAGCATGCATGCTTGGTGCTTGTCTTTCAGGGAATTAACTTCAGACAATACAGAGCCTATCAGTCAGACAAGTGACACAGTCTGTGTGTATGAACAGAACTCTGATGTTGATTTCCCAAAACAGATTTGCTAACGATAATCATCTCCCGCTTTTCTGTCTGCACATTACTTTCACAACTCACAAAGCAACAGATAGTGTGATTGAGCAATCAGATCACAACTGAAATGATGTGGGCGGCAGGTGTGACATCTGACAGGACGGTGTGCCATTTTCAAATTAGAGCCCACACAAAATTTTCAGCAAAACAAAGGGAACAGATAAGAGATTTTTAGAATGATTTTTGCTCTGCATTAAGTCGTGATTCACAAAGGCCAAGCTTTACATTTTGTTAAACCTTTAACAGAAACTGTCAAATGCCAGCTGTGTGTTTTCAGAGGCATTTATTTATACTGTTGGTCCAAGTAAATAATCCTTGTCACCCTGGTATTACCCATAGGCTTAAAGAAACAATCCCTGGTGAGGCCAGAGCTGATGGTTACTATAATAGTATTTTACCCTGCTGAAATCAGGGAATTAGCTGCCCATCATATTACAGAAGCCTTAACTTTATGTTAGCAAAACGGGCCCCTTGTCATCAGTTCAGACCATGGAAAATGCCCTACACTATGTATGACATACATTGAGCACACAGCTGAAAAAATTAATTAGAAATTATTTTCTATTTTTCTATTTGCTGTTTAACTAAATCTTTAATGTCTAGTCATTGTTCCAAATATCTATAAAACTTAAGCATTAAATACACATCCCCAAGAACTAATGGACTATTTTCTCTGGTTGTTGGCTCACTGCCTGCTATTCTCTAAAACTGCTGCTGCTTACTTCATACGTAGATTCTGCAATCTGCAAAAACTTTCATAGCTGCATTCCATATTCCACCTGCTGGGGAAATTTGAATGTTATCTGGATCCAGACACAGAATTTAGAAGTTTACCTCTGTCAGGCTTAGAGCAGTATTTTCTGACAAGGATTTATTGGGCAAGCTGAATGAGACATTCTCCAGGTATTCCAGCAGGATGTCAGAGGAGTGGAAGTTGCCTCTCTCTTTGGTCAAATTAGTTATGATGGGATGATAGGCGTTTGTAGACAGCTGCAAGAGAGAGATACAACTCACCAGCTCATTCCAAACAGCAGATGCCATTTGTGATGTTAGTTCAAAAGGGAGCTAAGGGGCAGTTTTCAGTTCTCCAGGAATCACAGTAGCATTTCTAAGCGGTGCAACTTCAGGGCTACCCATAAGCATTTCTAGGGCCAAAAAGTCTGGGTTGAACACTTCCCAGCACACAACAGAACCTGCTAATGGGTGTGGAGGGTTGTTTATTTGTTTATTGTTTCTGTGTTGGTGCATTTTTTCTGTATTTTGAGGCACAGCAGACAGCTGTAAATTACACACAGGAAGTTACACGGAGTAAACAAATAGGATAGTCGGAATTTACATGTATATGTTCATTTGTTCATTAGCAATTCAGGTCCTATCTGACATGGTTTCCTGAAAGTCTAAGAAGTAATAAAACTTCGGCACTCCAGACAGCAAGAAAGTGGAAATACACAGGAATAACTGTGTGCATGTAGGCTGCCTACAGCTAATTGCATACAGATGGCATATGAAAAATAAGAGAAGTTATCAAAACTTTTTTGGATGTCCTCCATCTTCAAAATCCACTGAAATACTGTTGAACAAGTTTCTACTTTTTTATACAGAGGAATTATTTTTATTAACTTTGAGTTCCTGTTGTCTATCCAACATTAAGAGTTCTGAAGCTCTCCCACCTTTCAATGCTGGCTGAAAACACTCCCTATGCATATCTGAAAGCACTTATAAAAATACTCAAGTACTAAAATAATTGTCACTAATGATATCTGTAAAATGTAGATCTGTAACTCTGTATTTATAACAAATCCTCGTGTTTTAGAAAAGAGTTATGAGGACTATCTTACCACAGGTTTTGGAGTAGTTGTCATTGTAGACCATGAAAGAGTTGAAGAGAGCAAAAACTGCACACCTGGGGAAAATTCATACACAAAGGAGTTGAATTAATTTAGGAAAAGTAAATTTTAAAAATCTCCATATCTTATCAAGTACAGATAACATATTGTGGGCACTTCTGATTCATTCCTGTGTGGCCGAGTTCTATTTGTCTATATGTGATTCTTCTGCATCATATATTCTTCAGCATAGGGACTGAGAAGATACAGACATTGAAAACAATCAGAATACTATCAGCCATGGGTTCCAAATGCTAATGTTGTCTAAATAAATATTTATGTCTTGAGTCTAAATTTCCTGAGTGGCAAATAAAATAGTGCAAATTCAGAAAGACTGTAAAAAAAGCTCAAAATCAATGAAATATTTCCATTACTTTGTCAGAACTGAAGTATCATTCAAATAAAAGAACATGGGTAGAAACATTGGCATATTAAACCTAATGTGGCATTTTAGTTTTGCATAAAGCAACTAATAGGAGTCAAGGAGTGAAAACAACTTTCAATAGTAGCCAGAGAATATTGCACATAATGTGGCTGCTCAGTGCTTTTAAGTTGATTTGAAGCAACAGTAAGGTTGCTATTAATCAGACGGGCTTCAGCAATAAATATCACCCCCTAGAACTACACCCACTGAAAATTACCATATAAGCATGCCATAAGTGATCTGCCAAGACAGAAAGAATAAACTCCATTTGGAATGGTTTTCAGCTGCTCCATTTTAAAAAATATTGATTCCTTTTCATGCAAGAGAATTTATGGGTCATTTATGGGTAGAGAAATAAAATTTTCTTCTCAACTACATCTTCCCAAAAATTTATGTTTGCCCAAGAGTATGGTATTCCAGCATAATCAAACAGTAGTGGAATATGCTGTGCATATTTTTATCACGGGTCCGAATGTCATGTGATTATTCATTCTGTTAAAGAACAGGCTGTCCTGTAAGTTTCTTATGTCAGAACACATTAGTCCAGTTTCATCACTGTTTTGAGATCTCCAAGCTCACTCAATAAACAGATACCAAGAATAACTGATTCACTGTGTTGATTAGTCTTGCGATGTCTGTTACTGCCTCTGAGAATGTCCCAGCTTTACTCCTAATTCCAACTGGAAATTAAAATAAATAATATCTAATCAGTCCGTTACTTTGTGAAAAATCAAAAGCTCAGTATTCCACATTTCTCCAATTCAGTTTAACACTTCAAAATAATATTGCCTTTGTACTTATAAAAAAAATAATACATGATGCCCCTTTACATTTTAATTCCCATGCCTCTAGAAAAAAAAAAAATGCACATCAAGTTTTACTTTCATTTTAGATGTTAGAAATTTATTTTAGATTTTTCACAAAGTTCCTGATGATCCTGAAGGCATTTGAACCGAGGCTTTAAGAAAATTAAAACCAGAAAAACTTGGTAGAACGCAAATTTCAGTAAACATTCAGCTTCACACAAGGTCACAGCACAGCAAGGAGGTGTTAATGTACAAGTCAGGGAGTTCGCTGTGTAACTTTCCAAAATCCAACAGGAATGGAGTAAGAAGATATAGGCAAAATTCTGTATAACTCTTCAAAAATTTAGACTTTATACAAATCATACTTCTCTAGATACACAAAGACGATTGCGTTGATTTGAAAGCATCCATTGCATTTGAATTTAGCAGCGTAGTGTTCTACCCTAAATCAAGGAATGTGTTTTGTGTTATCTTTGAGTTGGATACCGTTATAGTAACCCTAGGTTGTTGCGAAAGATAAAACAGCCAGATACTAGAACCATGTTTCCAACATGACCAGAACATTATAAACGTAATAAAACATTTTAATTAATTTATTTAGATTTTCAAACATGGAATAAAAATTTGTACTATTTCCTACCTTAAATGAGGTATCTGAGAATGTTTGAAGTGTTTCCATAAGAATCGCTTCATAAAGCATAAAACTTGAGCATGATTTCTGTATTTTGTGTTGCAAATATGATCTGCTTCATTATAGACTAGATAAAGGGTTTTCTTTTCAGTGGTTTCAATTCTATTTTATCCGTTCTATATTTTTTCTGATATACTGTATATGTAAGTTGATTGCCATTATCAAACCTGGATCTCACAAATGCACACATTCTCATTTACAGGTTTGCACCTGTGCTGTGTTATTCAAAGAGTGTCCATTGTGAAAATTGCTCCCATGGGTTTAAAAGCACATGGGTAATTGAGTGTAACTGCGTTAGCTCTCAGTAACCTAATAAGAATTAATGAAAATAGAGGAACCACCGGCTAAGCTGAATGTTCCAGATGCCCCATAGCTTTATTCCTGAGAGGGACATTTTCTGATTGTTACTCACACTTTACAAACTTTTGACTGTTACACTTAATAGCAGCAGCCTCTCTTGTACTGAAAAGTTCATTATGAATATCTGTAGCACAGCTGACATATTACTGGCCACTGCCTTCTACGTTTTTGTTCAAATCCTGATTCCTTTTTTAATTTATATTAAGTTTTAGTAAATATCTTTCTTTTTTAGTTCACAAAGCTATGTGAGTTATTAAATCTTTGTTGCTCCAGGAACTGGAGAGATGAGCATTATTATCCACATCTGTTGAAATATGCTAAGTGAGTTCCTTCTAAGATTACACAAGAGTGTTAGAAATCTGGAGTCAATATTTCTTAATAGCATTCTGCCTCAAGTCTAATTATTGCTCTTCTTCACTGAATCCCAGGGGATACAAAAATGGCTGCAGACTTCTAATCTTGGTAAACTTTTTTGACATTTTTAAGGAAGAAGAAGCCCAGATGAAAACACTGCGTGTCCAAAGACAGCTGAATATTTCAGTACCTTTCACAAATGCTTTTTTTCTACCTCTGAAAAAAACTATATTAAATAGCTGAAAGATATGAACACAAATCCTACACGCTAACCATTTTTAAGACAGCATCTTTACAGAACATGACTTATGGCAGTAAGAGTGCGCATACTCACCAATAGCAGCTGTAAAGTACTGCTCAATTTCATTGGGGGTGAGTGCCCTTTCCCATATAATGAATTCATCAAATGCTCCATTCACATAGCGCTTCGTTTGATCCCCTTCTGTTCCAGTCAGCAGATTTGCACTGGGGTCCCCATAATCATAGAAAACTTTCCCATCTGGATCAGTTGTGTTTAGAGTTCCATTGATGTAGACCTTCAGTCCTTCTCTTGATTTCCAAGTGAAGAGAATATGAGTCCAGTAAGGACCTAGAAAACAGTAAGTCACAGCAAAATCTATGAATCATTTCCATTTAGTGCCTCTCCTATTCAGTAAGTTTCTGCTGACTTGTGCAATGCTACGGAGAAGTATAGGAAGTGCTAAAAGTGAATTATGGAATGCTGATGTCATGTATATTAATCTTTACACACATGGGGAAGCCCATATTTTGGCAGAACGCCTGTTAGCTTTTGTCTGAACTCTTACTGAGGCTCTCTGCAGTTCCATAAATTACACTTGCTAAGTGCTATTGGCCAAGACTTGAAGTCTCTTCAATACTGTCTCAAAATTCAGTTCAGCAAGAACTTCATAAAGACCGCAGGAGCTGGAGAGCAGGCAAACAGACTAATTAAAGCTGCCACACTTTCTTTGTTACAGTTGAAAGGCTGAAAAGATCCTACTCATTTTGACTTGGATTGAATAACCCACAAACGTGGGTTTCTCTTAAAACAAGATTTCTAAACTGATTATAAAACTTTGGTACTATGAGCTGAGAAAGTCCTATATTCCCAGTTTGCAGATAGTTAAATGATGACAAGAAAAAACTTTAGTGACTGTCACTGGCATTACTCTAAGTCCAGAATTTGTCTCAGTCACTAGGTAAGAGTTTCCCAACAATACAAAGTTTAGCAGTAAGATATGTGATGTACCAAAATGCTTCTTAATACCATGTCATGACATAAAATTTGACACTTAACAGTTGACAAAATGAACAAGGCACTAAATATCCAGTTAAATCATTACTAAATAAAGTCATTATTTTGGAGATAGTAGTGTCCTGTACATGTATAGATTTTAGAATATATGGAGAGACTAACCTGTGTTCCTCACCCAGCTGTTTCCATCTAAGCACCCATTAATCTACTTATGCCAATAGGAACTGCAATTCAGAAAACTGGAAGGCAGGTCTGAGTACTGCTGCTGAACAGCAAATGTTGTGTAGTTCAGTATCAGTGAGTTAGCAGTTCACCTTTCTCTCACCTTACCCCCACCATGAGAATTCAACCACAGAGCTCTAATTACTCCTGTGTCCACATTTTCCTGATAATGTACCGTTGGCTTGTAATGGCTTGTGCCATTACATCTCTCTAATCTGTCTACAAGAATAATGTAAAACATAAAGGCAAAAAAAGGTGAACATACCTGGTGGACTAAAACTTGCTTTCCACTTCATCATTGCATTCCCACGGGTATAAAATTCCACTGAACCTTCACCTTCACTTGAACAGATTTTGAAACCACTGGAAATCACTTGCCCACCAGAGGCAGGGGGAAACTTTGTCTGTTGGTCTTGAGTCTTCCAGAAAAAGGAAAACGTTACTCCTGATGGAAGGAAGCAAGAGTGGATTTTTATTGAAAATCTTCCATACTCACTGTGCTTTATGATGCTTGAGTAGCTTCATGAGGTGCTGACAAAGTGAACACTAAAGAAACTTCTCATTATGCTGAAAGACTGAGAAAAGAATGTTCTTGTTTGTAAGATACTGGGAATGCTCTGGTGTTATAAAAATAAATTATTCTGAATATTATATTATACTATGGATGTAGAAATAATATGACTTGCAGATATTTTTTTTACTTTCTAGTGGTATGAAAATATATATCAGAAGGTACTATATGTATCTGACAATATGTCTGCATTGGAATAATGTATTCTCTTTTCCACTACCATGTAATAGAAAAGGTATCTTCTCTATGAGTTTCTCCTTCTTTCATAGAAAGTTAATGCATAGCTAAAAAAAATAATCCCATTTCAGGTTTGAAGAATGGCTTAAATCAGTAAAAGCAAGAAAAGTCAGTGTTAGCAACAGTGTTTAAGATTAGGGACTTCTAGAGGTTACATATGGAAGGATCAGTAGTAAATTGAGGTTTTTTACTTTGACTAAATCTAAAGTCTCTAATGTAGGTATTGATACTGACTGGTTGTGTCCTTATATTGATAGTTGCATACAGCTTAATGTTCTTCTATAATCAGCGTGTCAAATCAGTGCACCCTTATAACACTGGTCATTTTGTGATCTTTACCCAAGAAAAAGAAAGGGAAGAGAACAGAGGGAAGAGAATTTAAGTGTCTGTGGATATGGACAAATGGATTCCACAAAATCAGAAATTTTAAATAATTGTCTCCAAAAATCAGTTTGAAAAAAGCATTCCTGCTGAAATACCACACATTTAAAACATAGTCTCCTAAATTTCACCTGTAGGATGACTTATATTTGTCACAGTTTTGTAGCACCATTAATCTCGGTGCTAGATGAAAGATTTATGGTAGTGTAAGCTTATTTTTGTTTTTGTTTGAGTTAATTGTATAGTAGATCATTGATCTGAGCAGTTAGTGATTACTCGTAATTTCAAATGCAGTTAGGAAAAAACTGCATGGTAGCAGAAATGCTGATTCAGGGCTTGAAGCACCTGGTGGGAAGGCAGGGCCAACCCAGGGGAGCTCAGGTGCATGCAGTGGTTGTGGGTTGGCAGTGGAGGCAAGGGTATCTTACTGCAGATTCCTGCATGCCTGAGGCCTTTTGAAGGTAAGCAGTGTCTTTCTTTTATTTCTGTGTCTGTGGCTGTTGTGTTTGAGCAAACCCTCACTTACTGCAGCCTGGGACCATGCTGCTGTGCTGTTGTTGTGCTTTCCATTGCATTACACACATTTTCAGTAACCTCTGCTCAATTGTTTTAAAAGCCAATGAAGAAATGTGTCATGCTGGAATTTTAGAGGATTCATTACATTATTATTAACTTATGTAATTTGATAGTAAAAGCTAAACTGTTGAGTTAGTAATTAGTTCACTAACCTTCAGGTCCACAAACTTCAGGGTTGCTAATGCAGGAATTTTGATATCTTCCAAAGAAGAGAAAGGTAACTCCTTTCTTTTCAGTAACATAAATTCCTTTGTTCACCATTCCTTCTACAATGTCTAAAGGAAAAGCAAAATATAGCTTAACACTTATGTAAGTCAAAGATTCTTGGAAACACGACTTTTAGCAGGCTTGTACACTTCCTTAATTTTTTTCTCATCTACAGTTTTTGTTGTTGGTTGGTTCTGTGTTTTCTTTTCTGATTGTTTGCTTTTGAAGAGTCATACAATATAATTATTTCAAGTTTGTAATAATTATATTCTTCACCCCAATTCTTGCTTAACTAAAATGTATTAGCAGAACTCATACACCAAAAACAGAACCCAAAAATCATTATTTTGAACTACTCAGAACAAACACTACAATTTCCAGACTTCTGAATGCTGGGCACATCATGCAACTATTTCTGTCTTGCTGTTAAGTAGAGTTGGGCAAAAAAATCTTTAATCAATAAAAAAAATAACAATATTTTTTCATTTTTTGAAAGGGAAGTTTTGTGATCAAAATCCACTTTCATTATATATGAATATAAATGAAGTATACTTGACAAACTATACTTAAAAGACAGGAGAATATCTTTTGATCATGCTTTGGTATGACACCACATGTATATATGACTCATAAAAGCTACTCTCTTGTCTAACATGGGTAATGATTATTTGTCTTGTGAGTTACTTGTGTTCTCTGCTTTAAGAAGCACTGTTTATTCATTCCCTAGTAACCAAAGCACATGAGGCATCCTAGTACTCAGAAAACCTGACACACATTTACCATAGGAAACCTCACTGAGTTCTGAGAGTCCAGCTGGTGACAGGAGCTGTGCAATGGCTATGAAGATTCAGTATCTTGGTTTTAAGACCCTTCTCTGTAACTTCTTCTGACCAAAAAAAAAAGTCTAAGGGAAACATCAGCACTGAGCACAGTGTCTTCTCCTCTGAAGTGCAGAAATTGTCATCTAGCTGCTGCTTGATATTTGAGAACTGAATGACATTATAATGGAAATGAGAAATGCACAAAAATGGTCTAGAACACCAAAGGGGTGGGACATAAAGGATTTTCCTTAGTATTTATATGTGTACATCTGCCTGACCTGATGTAAGACTTTGAACAGTGAAAATCAAACTGGGCCCAGGTTGATGCACAGGCAGTGCTGGAGTCAGACTGTGTGTCTGGAGTGATAATCAGAAATAGAGTTGTCACTGCTTCAGGGTGGTGCATCCCCTCCTGCAGTGGAGACCTGTGTGACAGGGAATATCACTTTCAGAACGTAGGCGACCAGGAGGAATGAAGGCAGCCATACTGGCCCATCTGCAGGGTAGCACCACTCAGGAAGGCAGCAGATGCAGCATGTGGTAGTGCTCAGTGAACACACCCAAATGTTTTCTTAGTTCATCCCAAATCTCAGTGCAAATACTAAAATTCTCAGGTGTGCTTCCCTGCTTTTAAGCAAGAAGTCATTGAAACAGATGAGAATTCAGTTCTTTCTAAAAATTAGAGTAAGTACTATGGAGGGAAGCAAATATTCCTGAGTTTGTCATTCTGGCTAGATTAATATTTAAATAAATACCATAAAATATTGCATTTCTGTTTCCATTGCATTTCCTTTGCCATTTTAATGTTCGTGCTGAATGTGTCTTACTACATGACAACTATGCAAAAGTTCTATAAAGCAGATAAATGGGGGCTGGAAGGAATTGGGGTCACTTGACATTTGTTACAGAGTTCACTTTTGCCAGCATACTTTAAGAGAGCAGAAAAATAGTGGTTTATCATTCTAATATAGGCTTCTTAGTATCCAAATGACTTCTACCATTTTCATCTTTCTCCTTAGATTAGATTTTCCAATGACTAGATGTGAGCTGATACTTAATCTTTAAGTGGACAACAGGTCATATGTCAATTGTACAAGTATAAACCCCTGGTGACTTCAGCAAGTGGCTTTGGTTACATCCACTTAGTTTCCAGTCTGGCAGGTTTCTGCATGGAATGTTGTCATTTTCTGTTCTTCCTCTAATATGCTACCACGTTGATGGGGGGAAAAATCATTAAAAGGCTACATATCTAAGATTAGTGCTAGCTTTATTGTCATTATTAATATGGTAATCAAACATGTAATAATTGACAAGATTACTTCCAGGAGTTACAAATTGACTTGCATTTGCCTTTCTTAACGTGTCCTTTAAAAATAAATATGAAGTGATGATAAAGTGTTTTGTTTTTCAAGGTTAAAAAAAAAAAGCATTTGTTCTTTCATGATCCACTGAAATGTTATCTGTTTCCCCTACACCTAGTAAATAGTAATTATAGTAAACTATTAGTAAATATAGTAAATATATTTATATATTAGGCTTTTGAGAGCTACTGGGGTCCATCCTTCCATGGACTATTTATTAAGGGGATGCCACTTCTAGTAATTTGAAGTAATGAAGTAATTCTGGTAATATTTTAGCAATGTTTTTTTTGTTTTTTTGTTTTTTTGTTTTTTTTTTAATTTCAGTCAGTGTAAGCATGGATCTTTACCAACTGAGCAAAACTCAACTTTGAGTACAGTGTTACAAGAACCCTCCAAGCCTGAGCAATGCACAACAATAAAAACGTAAATCCTCACCTACAGTTGCAGAGAAGTTAGAGTAGGCAGAGTCATTGGTATATACAAAGGTAGAATTATGGGAAGGAAGCACAGTGAAGTTGTGGATTCTTAGAGCTGGGTGAAACAACAAAAAAATAAGCAAATAAGAAAAACAATGAATAAACACAATCAGTAATGATTTGACCAGTTCATATCTCTCAATTTAGCTCAGATCATTAATGTTGGGCAGTAGCCTTTAAAACTGTCGTATAACAATGTCTTACCAACAATCTGTGTGGATGTGAATGCTGTGTCCCTTTACTGCATGATTTAAATATAGTATCACTAAGACCACTTTTCTTCCTGGCAGGAATACAAGAGGAAAAAGACAACAGTACAACTGCACTTGGGTGAAGGGCTCTGAATACAATCAGGTCAGTAATAAACTCCTGTTATTTCAAAAATCATTATGTGGTGAAAAAGTTACGGTATCTCAAGTCACTTGTCCATCTCTGGATTTCCCCAACGCAAGAGATACATGGATATATTGGAGCAAGTCCCATGAAGGGCCAGAAGGGTGATGAAGGGATTGGAGCATCTGGCACACCAGGGAGAGGGTGAGGGAGTGGGGTTGCTCACCCTGGAGAGGAGAAGGCTCAGGTGTCTTATCAAAGCACATAAACACCCAGTGGGAGGGGTAATGCCAGAGCCTCCTCGGTGGTATTTAGTGAACAGATAAGAGGCTATGGGAGCAAGTTGAAACACGGGAAATTTCATTTAAACAAATGCTTTTTGTCTAAATACTTTCAATGAAAAATTACAAGGGTCAGGTGCTGAGTAGCTTGCGAAGAGGAATTGTTGTGTCTCCATCCTTGGAGAAATCAAAAACCTTATGGGACACAGCACAGCCATTGACCAGCATACTGTCAACAGGTCTGAAAGGACAGCACCAACGCTTGTTTGTATCTGGAGCCATTCCACCTGCTGTAGTTCTGGGAGCTATCAAGTTAATTTAGGTATCTGACAATAATTTTTCTTCCCCTCCCCACTTTGATATTTTGAGAGTATCTTTCACACTAATTGTTTACCCAGGGTGGGTAAACAGAGCTTGATGGAAAGCCTGTGTAAGTAAATAGATGTGCTGATTTGGGATTTAGACCATCTGGGCTCACAGGAGGGGGGGGAAAAAAAAAAGGCAAATTCTCAAAAAAAAAAAAAAAAAAAAAAGTGGAAAACAAGGGGTGAGATGAAAACCTGAACGTGACCACTTTTTTTCTTTATTTGATGTTTTTCAAGTTGGATGTTTCCCTTCAATTCCTTTTACTGCTTTTATTTTTGAGATAACTGAAAAAAATAATTTATTGACGCTGCCTCTCACAACACAAATACATTGAGAGATATAAATCTGGCTTCACACACAATGACTTCAACAAATAAAATGGATTAACATGACAGACAGACTATGATGCTTCAAGTATTTAAGAGAAGAAACATGGAATGAAAACATTTGCATGAAATTATGATGAGTGGAAAAAACAGGACTAGCATAATAGAGTTGTGTAATCAGAATGGTATCAAAATCTAGCAAATTGTTACCTGCATTAGATTATGACAATTAAACTTTTCTTGTATCAAAGTCAAACGTCAGAGAGGTACATAAAACTTCTGTACGCAGTGCAGAAAAAGAATTGTGCTGCAGGGAAAAAGATTTTTGGCCACCACGAAGTGAGACAAAGTCCTCAAAATCTTTTTTTTTTTTTTTTTTTCCCCACCAGGATCAAAATGCTGGCTACTTATAATGTTATTTTACACATAATAGGATTCAAAGACAGTTATTCATGTAAGCCAGTCTTATTCTTCTTTGTGGGATCAGGAACTTTTATATATTCTAATTCACTCTTTCATGCTACCATTGAATAGATTTCTGATTTCTGCTGAAATAATGTGATTTAACAAGTTTCAAAAAATAATCTTTCCAACACTGTGCAATTATAATTTGTCCAACAGCTGTAATCCATGCTAGATTTAAATATTCCTCAATTGCTTTGAAAACAACATGTTTGTAATAAGAATGTCGAAACAATTTAGAAAATGACATTCACACACTTTTGAAGAACTTGCATCTTAACTTTCTGTAGATCGAATTCTGGTCCTTTTAGAATTAAGTGGGGATGTTGCCATCAGCCTCTAGTGAGAAAAGAATATTGCCCAGATTTATTTCTGGTCAGCTAATTTCATTCCTTAGAATAATTCCTGGAAGGATGGGTTGAACAGTCTAAGTTTAAAATACTTCAGGATTATGGAATAAGAGGTTTAAGATATCTACAGATTTTTTTTCTTTACTTAGAAACAGAGATTTATGTTCCCATTTATGTATAACAAATAGCACTAGCTCTGCACTTAAGTAACATTTTTCATGTAAGATTGTAAAGGTCTCCAACTCTTGTTTTAATCTCTTGCTGTCATATTTCTGCATAAGAATACTATGGTCACCAGTAACAGTACTGCAGCTACTCTTCACTAGTACAAAAGTGTAGCTCAGTGGCCAAAGAAGTCAGCACAGTGTGGTAAGTATTGGGGAATGTGTGTATCAGCCTAACCTACAATTGGCTAAAAAGTCTCAAGGGAAAACAGTTCTCATGTGGAAACCACTAAAGCACTTCTGAGCCTCAGAAGGAAACAGAATATAGCAGCAAATTGCTCCCGAAAGGTATGACCCTGCAGGTTCATAATGCAGCAGTGGGATATTGTGGTTCTGCTGAAACTGCATCAGTTACATCACTTGGACATTCCTGGGAAGTCATCTCTTCTTTCCAAAACATCAGGACCAGAAAACTGCTGAAACCAACCATTCTAATATCATTCCCCATGAGTTCTTGCAGTTCTGACAACTGACTCTTTCCAATCGGTCAGGGTTTGGCTTTACCAAGTCTGTCAAGAATTTGCTCAACTGGGAAGGAAAAAAAAAAAAAAAGCACAGAACAACTCTTGCTGTAAGAGGGCTTTTAGAGAAGTATCAAAAAAATATAAAAATGATTAAGAAGTATTCAGATAAGAGCCTTGCACTTCTCTTTCTATGGATACTAAATGTGATTTTTCAAAATTGCCTGTAGGGTTTAGGCATTTAACTACTTCTGAAAAGTTAAAAAGAACCAAGCGTTTTCACTGCTGGCATAGCCAAAGATCTCAGTTGCTGAGCTTATTTAGTGCATATTATGCATGTACAAAGTCAGCTAATAACCATGTTATTTCAGTGACCCTCTGGATCATGAAAAAATTCACTTTATAACCTTAACAATGTATATTCAGAATGCCTGAGAATGCTCTGCAGAACTCAGCTCTCAGATATAATATCACCTGAACATGAAAGCATTGCAGAAACATTAACTTGAAATCTCAGCTGCTGCGGTAAAAGAGCTAACTGCTCTCATTTCTCCAGCTCACTACTTACAGACTGCACAAATACTTATGTTATTGCCACTGTCAATGAATCCTTTGTCTACCTCCATTCGTATCCCGAAACTCATGAATTCCATCCACGTCTTCCAGCGGCCAGTAATGGGAAGCTGATGAAAAAACTTTGAACCCTTTCAAGGAAACAGATGAAGAAGGTGTTATATCTCTTGTTGGACCGTACTTTAACGAGTTTCTACAAAGGAGAACTATAGAGGAGGTCAATAGGTCAATTAAAACAAGATATATTATCTGCAATGTTTGATAAGCAAGACCATGAATCAAAATGGCAGGGGAGATTAAAGCTGGATATCTGACTGACCGCTGTGGAAAACCTCTGCTTTTAGAATTCAACTGCTGGGTTTTTTTCCTAATTATACTTAAAATCTGTAATCATTTCTGATCAAATTTCTTCAGGTGTATCAGGCAGCGTTTGTCAGCACCAGGTGAGAAGTTGTTCTGATAATTGCAGGGTTTCACCCAGCTTTTTAAACATACTATGGACAGTACAAAGCATCAAGAAGGGAATGTGGAGGGGGAACGTTTCGCCTTTGTAGAACAATTCCTCTGCTTCTGCCTCCTCCATACAGGACTCCAATACCCAACTTAAATTGAAATTGAGAAGATGCTGAAGAGTTCCAAAGACTCTTATCCTGTTCTCAAAACTGACAGAAAAACCAGTGCAACACTGCCAGATGATATTAATGCAAGCACTTTTCACTTTTTTCCTCTTCTGAGGAACAGTAATCAGAAATGAGCACTAGCACAGAAACGAGCACTGGTGTCTCCAGGTAATTCACACAGTGACTGAGCATATAGCAGAACTACGCCCTTTAATAGAAGGAATTTGATCCTCCCTAAGAGAAGCGGTTCCAGATTGCTCAGCTACATGGTGGGGAGGATGCTTGTGGCCTTTGTTTCCCTAAACGTCCTCCTTAACACCAGATATGCTGACAAAAAAACCATCTGCTGGTTTCCTCTGACAGATTTAGCAGTAGAGCCTAATCGATACGAGTCAGAGCAGTTTTTAGGAATTGTGCTTACTCTAACCTGAGCAGAAGCGGGCAGTCCAATGCAATCAGATTTTGTGTTCATGTGATGTCTATTCTAAGGGTGTAGCATTAGGAAATGTAGGAAAACATGGATTTTTTTTTTTTAGCTGCAAGAAATCCTTTATTCTGAAAATAATTTAACCAGCTGTGCTAGGAGAAATTGATCATCTCCTGTATGCAGGGAAGTTTTAGAGGGTTGATACAGATACATGGAAATTTTACTGTGAATACAAAATCATGGCACGGGATCCTGTTAATTTGAGTTAATCTTTTCTTTTTTGGGAGAGAACAAAGTGAGTACTTAAAATCGGCATTTTTGATTCAGATTTCCATCAAAGTGATTATTGGGTGCTTTCTGGTTCTCCCTTAATATCCCTACCCTCAAATTAAAACATACTGAAAGCATCAAGCATTCTCTTTCCTTCTCCCCTCCTCATCTACATTCATTCAATGAAGTTCCACAGATTTGTTTCAAAAATACGATCTCCCTAACCTCCTTGAACTCCCTGACTGTGTTTTTTAATACTTTTCATAAAATGCCATTGAGATACAGCTCCATCCATCCCCTGGACGATGCATGAAGGAGAAAAAAAAGATAACTAGCTAGCTTCAAGAAAACCTCTCTGCCTTTCACATCTTTGTTCTTCTGATGGATATTTAATATTGAGTTTGAATTGATCTAACAAAGTGCAACTTTAACTCCCCAAAACTCTTACCAGTGAATAATCTTATTAAGGAAAATGAAGAGCAAGTGCATCGTCAAGTGTAGGAGTAAAGAACTTCTGGGGTCTCCAAGAGAAGTGAAACAAACTTACTTATAAAGTTATACTGAACGTGTAGTTCTTTGCCCTTCAACCAGTTTGTTTGTTTTTGTTTTTACCAAGCAAGCTTTCAAGAGCCTCAGAAACAAAGAAAAGTTTCTTAAATACCACTTTAACTGTTGGACACCATACAAAAGCTCCCAAAACTGTGTGCAAAGTAAAACAAATCACAAATAGTGTCCTTTGCCACTTAGAGACTTTCTTTACTCTAAAGAGAGATTTGAACAGCTTGCCCATTTGACAATTATTCTATCATTTTTTTATTCTGGATACAAATTAGGTTTCAATATAATGGAATTGCAGGGACAAAAATTTTATATGGCCTAAAGCTTTCTAGTCAAACCATGGAGCGATGAACTCTTGTGATGATTCTCATCCTCATAGTATAGTTTCAGAGCGGAGTATAGTTTCAGGGTTTAGGAGAGGAACCTAAGACCGAATGGAAGTATAAAACTGACAAAATTCTTAAACATCACAATAAACACTCATAGATCTGAAAGCACGGAACAATATCAAGCTTTGATTTTGTAAGAATGAATGAACATCTTTGCTTCTCTTCCAAATGGAATAGTACCAAAGATACCTAACAAACCGTTCCTAATTGACCAGGAACTACAATTGGCCTATCTAACTGGGAGTGTTTGCTGTTGACATAGAGATTTTCCCACATAGAGGGAACGTGAGTGTAAATAGATGAGATAGAGATGCATTTAGGGGTTCTGTGGTCACACTTCCTTTGGATACTTGAAAAAGACAAAGAAAAGCATAGTTGCTAACAAAAGGAGAAAACTACTGGCAAGGTAGGAGAATAATGACACAGAATAAGCATGCACAAAGCCAAATCTGAGAATTCCAAGCAGTCCAACTCAACTAAGCTGTGTGTGGAAAGGCATGCTGAGGGAGGAGGGTGTAGGAACCTGCTTTCATTTACATAAGCCATATCTGGGTACGTGTTCAGTTCTGTCTTCAAAGAGTACATTCTAGCTGCTGTTGACGTTAGAGTGATGAATTTCTGTGATATTAAGAGAAGCCACATAGGTAACCTGTGCTGAAGGACTTCCATGCCATCCTCAAAATATCTATTTTGCAGAGCACAGAACATGCCTGCTGTTTCACAGTGTGCTTATCTGCAAATAACTCTTATTTCATTAACATTTACTCTTTGTATCAGGGGAAAAAAAAAAGATTAAAATTAACAGAAGTCTTAGAAAAATATAGCAAAAGAGAGGAAAACAGACAAACAAGGAAAATCTCTGGGAAGGAGATGAATTGATGCCAGAAATGTATCATGATATGGCATGAGTATTTTATTAATGGCTGTAGTGCAGTTGGTATCAAACAGATTCCTAAGGAGAAGCTTCTAAGAGCCTTACATTTTGAAGCTGGGAAAAACGGGCAAAGAAAATGGGAAAGCAACCAGAGATGCAGCAAAGAAATGAATCTCCGAGAGCCATGCGGCTCGTCGGTGGCTTTCCTAGCTGCCAGTTCTGAACTATATAAAGCCATGCTGCTATCCCTCTTGCAGCCCCAAGAAAACTTCAGAAAACAAATACCTATTGCTTTGAATTCAGCTTATACGTGTATAGTTCTTTCAGTAGATAATTACTCTGCGTTTAGAACAAAAGCACTTCTGAATTGTTTACAGTCTCTACAAATTCAGAAAGCATCATTCCCACCTACCTATCCCCATAGATTTGTGCTACAGACAAATCTCATATAGCTTGCACCCCCAGTGAGGAAGACCGTTACCCCCTTACTGGTTCTATTGGCCAGAAGCCTGTCATCCTTATCGATGGGAAAAGAGATGGTATTTCTTAGTCTGAATGAAGGTAGAACACGTAACTGGTCTGAAGTTACTGCAATAGCAGACAACATAACTCCACATCACACTGTATTTTATTTTGAGCGTAATTATATATTGTGGAAACTTAACAGCACAAAGCAATGCGTGAATTGCAAAGCAGTAAAATTGTACTTGTACACCACCATGAGGCTTGAGGTTAAACTATTTATATAAACAGAAGGATTCAGCAGTTACACACACAGACCCCAAATAAGCTTTGAGTGAGATTTTCTGCATTGAAAACAGATGAGAGATCTTTAAAACACTCTACAACTGATTTTAACTGAAGCATGATGGCTAGGAGGAGGGTAGATCACTTGATGCTGTGGCAAAGTACACAAACCAGCACGTCTAACTGTAGATCAAAGAATTAAAACACTGAACACAAGAAGAGAGAGAGAAAAAAAAAAAACAGCCTGTGTAGAAATCTAGTTCAGAAAATATGCTCTAAAACATAATAATAAGCACTGTATAGAGAAATTCCCTATCAAATACAAGCCATTTTTCTTCAAACATACTGCTGTGCAGATGTTTAGCAGATAGGCTACTGAATTTTTACTGCCTAGGATGGTCTGATACTTCGATAATTCAGTCTATTGTATTTTTACTAAAGAGCTGACATTCAAATGTGGGGTCACTGATTCTTGGAGCTACTAAACCAATGAAAAATACAAAGCAAGAAAACAAGACAGAGTATGCATACTTATATAAAAGCATGGTGTCATAAAGTATAAGTAAAACATTCCTTACCTGGGTGTTCGAGTAGCTGGGAATAGTTTCCGTACACCTGCACATAAAACATTTTATAATGAGACATGGTGAGGCAAAACTTGCTAAGAGGGATCCAAATATACGTCAGTGCCGACCGTATTCAGAACATTACCTGATTTTTGAACTGCAATAAAATCAGCAAAGAATAATGACAGCAAAGCAGAGATAATAAATTCTTCATCGTCTATTTAAGGTTAGAAGTACAACCGAGATCAAATTCCTGCAGGTTTTTAATCATAAGCTTTCCTTAGCTACTTTTTGTATTAAAAGGGACATTTTCCATGTAGGTTCAAGAAGTCTGTTCCTTCAGTGATGGCAAATTATCCTTCCGACCCTTTAAGTAGTATTTGCTTTCTTCACACTTTGATCTCTTCATTTAACCATAAATAAATTACTGTGATTGCGGAAGAATTAGAAGCAACGTGCATCGGATCCGAAAGTTGTACCGTTCCGTGGAAAGAAGTCAAATATTTCTGCTAGAATCTGTGCCAAAAAGAAAATATCTTGTTTTCAACTTTCTTCCTATGGTTGTCTTTTCCTTTCAATTACTTTCACGTTGTCAGAGATCCGAAGCCAGTTTTGGTTTTGCTAGCAAGAAAATGTACTTCCTTATAGCGCATAAAGCATAGAGCTCTCACTCTCTCCCTGGGAAATGAACTGAAAAGACTTGCTAACTCCTCTCTTGTCCAGCTCACGTTTGCACCTCCATCCCAGATCTTTTTGGGTGGAGAGCAAGTCTGAGTGATGTCATGCTTTCTTCTCAAACTTTGTCCCATTCTGGTACTCTATTTATATCACGTTGCTGCTGTCTCTTTTCTGGGTCCTAACACCAGCCAGCTAGGAACAAGTGGAAACAAGCTAATGTGCCTCAGCAAGCAGATTAAAGAGATTACAGCTTTTAGCAATCTGCACATTCAAAGAAGAATCAAAGCCAGACCAATTGTTCCCAATTCAAATGTTTAAGAACAATATAACAGATTTTGGACACAAGTCTTTGAAGCAAAGCTAAGAGCTATTCATCAAAACAGCAGACTGTATTTGTTTAAAGGAACATGACCTTTATAAAAATACTGCTTTAAATCACACTGCACTGAGGGATTAATATTACTGTGTACCTGTCAAGGAGGGGAAACTGCAGCATTAAGCCATTCTACTGATTTTCTCAAAGATGCACAGCACAGCTAGTAAAATAACCGGGAAATCCCTTCTATAAGAGCCACAGCAGCGTCATTGCCTTTATTTTTACCAAAACATAATTGCATTTTTAAAAATTATATATATTATATTATATATTATATATATGTCTCCCAAATTTGAACTTACCTTCAGCCCCTGACACTTACTCGATCAGCAAAGCACTGCAAACACAGAAATGAACGCACACAAAAGATGCAGATCGATGGAAAAGTGACCACACGACCTGTTTCCATGTGTGTGCCCCTGCCCACGATGGCTTTTCTTCTGCCCATTAGCGATTCCCCTTCCCCCACCTATTTAGTGGCTCTTGGTCTTATCTCTTCAGGTGCCCTTATCAGCCTATAATGGCCTGATTCCTTCTATGGCATTTACCCTTCCTTACTGGTACATTTCATGGCATTTGCACCAAACTCTTGGGTTGAACCAGCTTGTTCTGTTTTTGTTTTGCTTCTTTCTATTGACCCTTTCTATAAAGGTTCTGTATTTGGAAGCCCAGCAGGTTGGCCTTGTGACTGTTTAGCCAGCTGGTTCCACAGCAGTATAACTGAACTTCTGAATATTCTGGTGGTAACTCCTTGCCACGAACTGAGTAGATGGAACTCCAGAGTTGAGGGATGAAAGGAACTTTATTTAATTCAGGAAGTTGCACAATACGTATCTCATACGGCACAAATTAACTTGTGTCACCAAAATTAATGATAAATCTTCAGCATCACCAAAATATGTATCTTTGGTTTGTAACCTCAATTTGGAATTTTAACAAAGTAGTTTTGAGAGTTTTTAACTTCAGTCCATTCAAAAATGTAGTTTCCCACTCAGCTACGCACAGTGTGGCTTCTGCTTATTTTCACTGAGTTTTTGAAATGTTGCTTTGTTTTGCAAAGATTCTTTCCCTCCCTCCTGTTAGCCAGAAAATCCTCTGTAACCTGAAAGTAGAATTCTGTGTAAACCCCAGGAATTCCGCATCACGTACTGACAAGTAGAGCCACCCTTAGAAATAATAGAAAGTTGCGGCTAAAAATCAGGAAAGCATTAAACTGTAAAAAGAGAAGGACAGGAATTTGAAATATTTGCCAAGAGGGGCCTGTCAAGGGAGAGAATATGCTTACCAAAACAATTGTGAGAATCCAAGCAAACATGCTCACTGCCAGGAATTTTTGTGGAAACAGCAAATTGCAACCAGACATCAGAGATTATTTGCAGAAACAATTTCTAAACACATTCGTATGATCCTCTGGAAACCTGATCTGAGAAGTCACACTGCTCCCACCACAGACCAGAGGTAGCACTGGGCACCTTGCATGCAAACCCAGTCGCTGATCCAGCGCTCAGAAAACAAACAACCGCAGTGGATTGCTCCTGAGTAACCTGCAGATAAAATAATGTCCCTTTAAAGTACTTGCACGCCAATAAGAGCACAGATATACAGCAGGTAACTGTGCGCAGCCTGTGCTCAGCAGCTGAGAGGATTCTCCCCAGGACAGCTCTCCCACAGCAGCGAGGAAGGGAGGAGCTGCGATCTCATGGTGCAGCAGTGCTGGGAGGGCTCCCAGGGCTCTCCAGATTATCACATGCCCCAGGTTTCTTTTTTCCTCTTTTCCTCCTCTTTTCTTTGGGTGGGGGAGGAATGCGGTGGAGAGGTGTGTGGAGGGACACAGCACTTTCAGTCAAAAAGGTTTAAGGAAAAAAAATCATAGTTTATGTTGGTGATATCACTTCCCACCACGTTAATGAGTGTGACTTATTACAGGGTGATTGAACTTTGAGTTTCAGCTTTCCCTGTGCAGCTCTTGTTCCTTCAGCATTAGTATGTTATTAAAACAATATTGGTAAATGCTGTGGTTGCCATTTAGCAGGAAATGTAAAACACTCTGATGTTAAAAATCTTTACTCCTTGCCATGTGAATACAAACAGAGAGAATAAATATTTAAAGCATTTATTGTACAGTGCAGAAGACAAACATTCCATAATATGGTTTTCTTCCTTTATTTTCATTGGAGTCATTAACTCCCCACGAGAGATCTAGTGCATAACTGGGATCAAAATGTTTTATCAGACATCTTAGAAAGGATTTTAAGATTAAATCTAAATGCTGGGTTTTGTTAAACTTCTCTGATAGCACAGGCTCACATGCCAGTACATATTCAGGATTAAAATAGCTCCCTAGTCAAACTCTGTCGGTAACAGAGATTACTAACTAGGTGGTTGCAGCTGATATATCAACACCAACCTGCTGAAAGTTGTAGTTTTAGTGCCAGCTTGACATGGAATTCCTGCATTTGTGGCTGTAGAACTGCTGTTACTTAACTTCAGTTACACAAGAAGTTGTTTTGTAAACACAATCATCTGTCCTTTGGCACAGAAGACAGCCAGGGCAACTCCGCTGTTTCTCTTGGAGCTGTTCAGATATGTACATATGCACAACTTGGTTATATTTGCACATCTGCAAGGAACCTGAACAAAAGTTTGTGACACACGTCTCCATCTCAATGCAGATGTTCGTACCAGTGCAGCTCCGTTCATAATGAGCATGCTATTTACTCACTGAACTTCAAAGCAGAAGCAGTTTTTACAGAGGAATGGGTCACCTCTAGTGGTTTATTATTCTTTATGTTATGTTATTCCAATCTGGAGTTGGTGTATTCCAGCTGTGTTTTGCCATGATTCTGTCACTTTTGAGGTAGTGGTGTTTCTATAATTGCCTTCCTCATTTTTTTCCATCATAGGCAAACAGTATTAATTTTGATGAAAATCAACAAGTTTAAATCTTCAACACAGAGCAAAATATACATATATATCCAAAGATCAGTTCTAATAAAAAGGAATAAAAGCAGCGTTTTCTAGATGTTATGGGATAGTACTATGCATACAAACTGTGTACAGTCATACAAACTAGTTTTGTCTCCAAGATGTACACTGCCTGTGGAAGAACACTGATATGGGAGGGCACAAATGTTTCACTAGCATGAGAAGCAGTTGCTAATAAGTTCTGTACATATCTGTGGCCGTATTGCTGTGATTAACAGTGGGATGATCCTTGATGATATGCACCTTCTCAGACTGTAATCCTTTAATAGTGCAGCTAGAACGCTGGGTGAGAGACTGTCAGATCTAAGACAGCAAGCACCTTCACAAGTTCTTTTTGTGGCCCCAGCTCTGGGTGAGATCTCCCTCACAACGGTCACTCAAATGCTTCTCAGGTCAGCAAAGAACGACATCAGCTATGAAAAAAGCTTGGTCTGTAGAACAACTCCGGCATTACAGTTCTTATTTGCGTAGTGCCACATTAACAGAGGACGATGTAAGGGTGGCAGTGGCCACCGTGTGATGCAAGTCCTTATTTTATGTCAGTTAGTAAAAGATATTTTGGCAAAAAATGAGAAAGCGGAACTCACACTCATGAAAATATTGCATGAGATTTTCCTTGAGCTGATTGTGACTAAAAGGACAAACAGAAAACTCCAGACTGAAGAGAAAGCAAACAAACAGAACTCCTGGAGCTAATTCAGCAAGGCTCATGCTATGATGAAAAAATATTGTTCTAATTAAGAGAATGAGAATGTTCTGAGTTGATGCCAGAAAATAAAGACTTTTGGCAACAGAATTTAGAACTAATCAAATGAATATACCTTTATAAGGCTAATATAGCGTTATGCTGACTAACTAATGTATTCTTTTCAAAATCATTAAGAGCCTGGAGATTCAAAGACCAGCTCAGAAGGTGAACAACATCATATAATAAGCCATGCATTTGAGTTTTCTTTAAATAAAGTCCCACTTGATGGCTGTAGTTATTGGATTACTCTTTTTTTTTCCTACTTATCATATCATCCTACCTGACTTGTTTTTCTGTGGCAATTCCTTGAACATCTCAATCTATATACCAAACAAAATAGCTGATTTCTTTTTCTTTGCAAAGTAGCATAAGCTTTTGTGGAAAACCTGAAGATTTAATTTTGATCTTTAATTATCTACGCCTTAATGTCAACACAACCTTACATTAAATTTCCTAATCATATCATAAATAAAACACACAACTTTTTTGCTGTAGTTGTTTCATAAATATACATAATTAAACCAAGTTTTCTTTGCAAAAAAAAAAAAAAACCCTGCCTCTAAGAACTGTATTGTTGGCATCATACAGGTAATCAGGCTCTCTTAATTACAAACGTATTTCATCATAGTAAAGTTCTGTCTTTGGAATGTGTGCCAGTTCTCCTCTAACAGTCTTACCCAGTTCTGTCTCACTCTTCTGGGTAAAAGTAACCATGAAAATTCCATTTAGCTGCTTTGTGAAACAAGTTTATTGCCACAAATGAAGTTGACCTACAAGGTGTTTCTCAGCAAAAACATCTGAGCCTATTATAAACATGCATATTAAAGGCTTCTCCTTCTATGGGGAATAATTCACCTTTTGTCTTTTGTAGTATCTTACGTTAGATCTAAGTGGGAAAAGCAATGAGAGTGGGAACAGAAACCAGAGTGCTAACTTAAAAATCACAGTAGCTTCCAAA